TCAAATTTCATTTTGGAGGCTCTGATAAAAAGCAGCCCTGACAAAAGCAACCTTGGGGAGAGAAGGTTTATTTTAGCTCCCAGTTCCAGGCTACAGTTGATCATCAACTCAGGATTTCAAGGCCAGAACTTGGACCAACAAATGCCCAGTCAGGGGCAGAGAGAGAACGACACACATGCTTGCATGCTCGGCTCGATTTCTTCACTGAAAGGATGCTACCCACATTCAGGCTGGGTCTCCAGGCCACGTTCAACACAAGAAAAAAAGCCCAATTCTCATAGGCCACTATGATCTGGATGGTTTCTCATTGAATTCGCTTCCCAGGTGAGTCTAGATCGCATCGAGTTGGATCACCACAGAGAGATGACCCGGGGTCTTATCGGCAGCATCAAAGAGGGGTTGATACTGGGTGTGATGTAGGACTGTCACACTCAGGAGGCTGAAGCAGGGGGATGCATCTTAGTCCAGCCTGGGCTACAGATTAAGATCTTGTTTAAATATGTATTTTTTTTTAAAAGGTTGAAGTGTGGAGCCTTAATTTGATGGAGATTAGATTTCAACAACTATGTGGAATAGCTGGTTGGAGCAGAAATACAATTTAATATTAATAAACTTCAGTTTTCCACTTTATAAGCTTGAGGGAAGGAACCAGCCGAGAAGGGTTCCTGGTCCAATGGAACCCTTTATCTGTGGGGACTGCATTCAGATTCTAAACCTCAGAATCTCCTCCAAGGTGTCAACAGACTCAAAGTGTCCGAGTCTGGCACCTGCGGTCTGCCCCTCCTTTATTCCCTTAACACTGTAAATTGACAATTCCATCCTTCAATGGTCAGAGCTTCATTGGGAAGTCCCCCATGATGCCTCCATTCAAACCCCTATCCGGCACGTTACCCAGTGTGTTTGGCTTTGTTTTCAGTGTATAAGAAAGTCCAACATTGTCCACCTCCCTTCCACTAGAACCACCTCATCCCATCTGCATTGTTGTTCATTGTCCTCTCTTGCTCTTCTGCTGTCTGTGACCCACCCAGCAGTCAGACGATCATTAAAAAACTCAAGTCAGGTCAAGATTATGCTTAAGGATTTCCTTTGGTTGTCCATCTCCCTTGCAGGAAGAAGGAAACGTGAAGCCAAGGTCTGCAGACTGCTATCATCTAGCTGCTGGTCACCCCTGGTCTTCTTGTGCTTTTATTCTCCATCCCCGATCAGTTACTGTCCGCTCTCACCACAGTGACCACCTTGCTTCTCCTCAAAGATAGCAACGAGGTCCTCCCTTCACCCTTTGCATGTGCTGTTCCCTCTGGCCCTGCGACACTGTCTTTTAAATGATGGCACAGCCTTCGTCCTCTCTTCTTTCGGGTCAGTGTTCCACCCCAGCTGCTCTGAGCGAAACAGTGACATCCCTCAGCCCTGCATCCTTGGATTTGTTGTAATTTCTAGCCCTGCTCCTTTACTTAGCAAAATAATATGTTAAATAACACCATGGTAACAAGTCCTCAAATTAAATAGATTACAATGTAGGGGTTAACTAGCTTGTACTGGCTTCTGAGAACCAATTGTTTAATTTTCAGGAAATTTTTCATTTTTTTAGAAAAGCTAAATGAAATAAGCGGAAATTACTATGCATTGCTTCCTAATTATTCTACCACTATTAAATTATTATTATTGAATATTACTGTAATCTACGTCCTTATAGGTACTTATGGCTGCTGTATCTGTATGAGAGAAATACTACATTGTGGCAGCACACAGTGTAGCTTTACCTAACTTAAGACTAGTGATGGTGAGCCAGCCATCTTGTTTGCACACTGCAAAAATCAGTAAGAGCCACAAAGCAGGTATGTGTGTGTGTGTGCGCGCGCTAGCACGTGTGTGTATGTGCGTACTTAAAGTGAGAATATTTACAATGCACATTAAATTTTAAAGGAGGCTTTGTCTGCACCCATTACAATGTTCCTGGCACACACACATTCACACACACGCACACACATGCACACACATGCACACACTGAGAGAGTAACCAAAAATACATACCACACTCAGAACCGAAGCGCAGTGCAATGAAGTTGTTCACATCACTGGTAGGTGAGTGGTGTTCTGAGCTTAGTCCTCATGTCTCACTTTCCCTTGCTTAAATAAGTGTGATGGTTGGTCTGAGCTGTCAGCTGGCCTGGGCTGAGAGGTACCTACCTAGGGTTGATGGAATGCACCTGTGTGTCTAGTGAGGCATTTCCAGAGAGGGCTGACAGACTGGACAGAGACTCCTAGGGACAGACCCAACTTGGTTAGGGGAAAAAGAATCCTTGAATGGGTAAAAGTGCTGGAATGAAGTCGGGAGGAGCAAGGAGAGTACAGGCCAGCATGTCCCCTTCTTTTCTGAGTGACCATGTCTCCTACTGTCACCAGACTCCAGTTACCTTGGTTTTTCAACATGAACTCAACACCTGAGACCCTCCAGGGACCTTTCAGCTTTGTATTGAGTTAGCCGAGCATCCTGCTTCCTCATTTGGGCTTCTGGTTCTCTCCTCCTTCAGTGTCTAACTTTGTTAAAACTATCCAGTTCCTATTGTGTTAGCTAATCTAATAAACCGTGTGTGTGTATGTGTGTGTGTGTGTGAGAGAGAGAGAGAGAGAGAGAGAGGAGACAGAAAACAGAGATAAAGATTCTTTTGGTCTTCTGGTTCTGTTCTTATAGAGAACCCTCCCTAATACAAGTAAGCAAATGAATGAATATTCAGATTGGAAACACACGCATTTATGGACTAGAACTATAGACTAACTATAGACACACAACTTCAACACAAGTGAATTGAAGAGGTCTCTGTCAACAGCGTGTCTGCAGTTTCTTTACAGTATCATGTACCTCACTTGCACACCACAATTATATCAGAAAAATCGACACTAAACATAGGAATACACACTCCTATCCCGGTCTGTTCTTGACCATTTGCAAGCCCGTCTCCTTCATAGATACAGGCCATGCCCATCATGAATCTCCTGTTTGCGTTCCTCACTCTGAAGCCAGGTCATGATACCTGCAGCGTTGCTGACTACTATACAGGGGGAAAAGACTTAAAGCCCTGTCTGGGTGTTCCACACTTTACTTCTGCTTATTTTTCATCAGGCAAAGTAAGTCACTGAGTCATACCTACTTTGTGAGCAGAGTAGGTACAAGGCCACCACGTGCCTGGAGGAAGGAAGAGCAGAATGAGTGTGTTGGTGAATAATCCTGACAGCCATCACATTGGGGTGTGTGTGTGTTTCTCACACATAAATGTACCTTCCACCAGAGCTGATTGTGTGTGTTGTGTGTGTGTATATATACTTTCATACATAAATGTACCTTCCACAGGAGCTGATTGTGCGCATGTGTGTACTCTCATACATAAGAGCAGCTTCCACCGGAGCTGATTGTGCATGTGTGTGTGTGTGTGTGTGTGTGTGTGTGTTTCTCATACATAAGAGCAGCTTCCACCGGAGCAGATTTGCTCACTGATACATTTTAGAGATGCGCCACACTTGAAGTGGGTCTGAGAGGAAAAGAACTTGGAAGAAAGAATCATTGGAAACCAGCTCTTTCAGGTCAGTGAAGACAGTCTTCATCGCATGTCTTGACCCATTCTGGATAAGCGGTGATCTTTTTCTCACCACCCTTCCCTGGCCTACACTACTGGGAATCCGTGGAGAAAGTAACTGTGCAGATGCATGGGATGTGGTATTCGGATGTAAAATAGAAGAGGCCCACGACCACATCCCCTGAAGATGTTTGATCTCATTAGAATAAGCAAGCGAGGCCGGCATCTTCAACACAAAGGGAAGATGTCACCCTCAGATTTGTACAAGGGCTAAATAATCCCTGAACGGGTACATGCTTATAGTTTATGCTCTGGGGACCTCTTTGGTTCTCTCTCATCCTGGCCCTGCAGCCAGGACTCCTCCAGGAGCCACCCGACTCTGTAGCTCAATGGACACTTCTCACTGTAGAGGTTGTTTGCAGAGTCAAGTGGCTGCATTTGTGGGAGAATTCCGAGTTTGCACTCTGCCTGCTCTAACAAATTCCCAGGGATGAATGATGGCTCCAAAGGCTGACAGGCAGAGCGAGAGGGAGGGGGGCATCCATTATTCTGGGAAATGCCTCGTGCACCTGCCTCAAGGTTGTGATTTTGAAGCTCAGGTGTTGGCTGTTACTATAACTACAGTAGATGGTGTTACTTGTCAGTGATGCCAACAGCACTAATTCTTATTTACTGAGTTCTTCTTATGAGCTAAGAAAACACTGTGCCAGACACACACACACACACACACACACACACACACACACACACACACACACACTACCTTGTTCATCAATTAGTACCGACATGACATCCATTTCCTAGGCACTTCCTGCCCGGCAAAAGAGAAAATTGAGTCTTGGGGAGATGAAAAAAGTCTTCCAAGGTCACCTAGGAATTGACAGAACCAGGATTTGAATAAAGTCCTCTTGAATCTCAGGTTTGGCACCTTTAAACTGGAACCCTCTACCAACTGCTAAAACAAAAGTTAAGAAAAAGGGAAAGTAATCACTACTCAAGCAGGGTGAACTCAAGATAGTTTTACACACACACATAAATGTGTTTTTTTTTCTGTTTTGTTTTGTTTGAGACATGGTCTTAACATTGTAGCCCAGCTGACCTAGAAATTATGTAGGTTCAAGTTCAAATTTCCTCTATGGCAATTCTCCCGCCACAGCCTACTGAATACTAAAATTGTAGACCCAATACTGCACAGGTCTAAGACACAATAATATTGCTTACTAAGTCTTAAAACAAAAGCAATCACAAACCCCACCCTAAAAGCAACCAACCAACCTACCACAAACCCCCAAACTAGAACACAGGCATACCCACATTCATCCAAACGCGATATTCTCTCTCTCTCTCTCTCTCTCTCTCTCTCTCTCTCTCTCTCTCTCTCTGTTTCTGAACAGAAAGAAATCCAAGCTTGACTCTCCTTTTTTTTTCTTTCAGTTTTTATTGAACACAAGTATTCTGACAGAATGCAAAGTCAAAATTCTCAGTTAGTACTCAGTATTTACAGCAGTGAGAATGGAAACAAAGGTGGTGTTGATGTTTCACTCAGTAAAAAGTTTTATAACAAGAGAGAAGGCCCCCGAAGTACAGAATGCTGGGTAAGGATGTTAATGGAGGTGTGACCACCACCATCCAGACGGACAGCTGAGGGTGAGACCCTGGGACGTGGGAGGGTCCATAGAAAAGTGAGAACATAGAGTCCCTATTGAATACACCTTGGCCCTTCAGGATTGGGAGACCCCACTCATGGCACCTGGGTGGCCTTCCCACAGAACTTGGCCATGCTGGTCTTTGTGTGATACATATGTATGCCACGTAGACATACAACACATCAACATTGAAACTGATGAGTCCATCCCTCCTTCTAAAAACTTAAAAAAAAAAACCACAGGAGATGAACTGTGTTTATCTCTTCAGATAAAAGAACGTGGAAATACACCGACTCCCTCTTTCATTTTAGAGAGATTACTGCTTAAAAAAGGAGGAAACCCATGCATGATGAGACAAACATGTGTGTAAAGAGAGAGGCAGATCCAAGTGTGGGCTATCTAGTCCAGCGAATGGTGGGGCCAGCGTTCAGGAGGTCAGTCACCCTGGGCCAGGTTATTCTAGGGTGGTTCTGTCTCGTCCTAGTCAGCAGAACTAACCTCAATGTGTCGAACCACAGAGTGGAATACATCAGTTCCAGGAGGCACAGTGTGCCCTTAGCTGCTCAAGCCACTGACTTCACACCATGGGGAACAGATCCCACAGGACGGGCTACGCCCAGAGGAGTCTGTCCCTCACCACTAGGACCTCTCTGGCTTGGGCACGACCCGCCTTTCCCATTCTGCTGTGTGCCCTCAGAGCTGTCTTCCCCATAGCTCGTCCTGAGGACCTGTTAACTATGGATCTGGGCAGGTCCTGGGGTGACAGGGGCCAGGCTGAGTGTTCTGGGATCCTCCAGCTTCCGTCCCCAGGAGCTGAGAAAATGCAAAATAACCCCACATCGAGTAAATGACAAGACCATTATTTTTCACAGTTTGAAATTATAACCTAGCATTGCCACTGGTCACGCTGCAGAAGTGTCAGAACCCAGGGTGCGCAGCCCACAAAGGGGACACAGAGGCCATCTGCCACCCTCACCGCTTGCTGCTTTGTACTTGGGAAAGGAACCCGTGCTGTCGGATGGACGTCTGTTGGCTTTAGTGTCCTCTGCATCAGCATCACCTGTATTTCGTTTCCTTTGTTGAAAGGCTTCGATTCCTTTTGACGTTTCGGGTCGTTTGTGTGTCTGTTTGTTTCCTGAATAGCTTTTTTTTTTCTTTTTCTGAACTATCTGCTATACCTTCCACAACCAAACTATGTTGAAGTTTTATTTCAATACTATGACAAAAACACGTTTCACACTAAAATATTCACGCATCCACAGTGCACAAGCTTGCGGTTCTAAAGTCGAATGAAAAACAAAAGCAAAATGTCTATACAAAGGGCTGGCTTTTCCCTTCTCCCCCCCTCCCGTCCCCCTGAAAGTTTCTGTATTTTCCCCCACTTGGAAAGTTGGATTATAACTCCAGACAGTATTTGTTTTTACAAATGTTGCCTAAGCGAACAGAAGGCCGATGTCACTTTACTTCAACAGATTTCCAAAAGGAGACACTACTTCCCTGAAGCACGCGTGCTCTTCCGCTCAAATCTAGATTCTGGGCTCAAAAGGAAATGAAATGGTATGTATATATTTTATTTGGCTTTCTACAAAAAAATGGGGTGTTTGGGGGTAAAAAAAAGAGTGTGTTCACCAAGACCAGCCCCAACTATACAATCTTCTCTGCTTCATTCAACAAAGCCAAAGGAGTCCTTCAGAGGAAGGGTGTGCAGACACCTGGGAGGCAGGTCCGGTGTCACAGACACAGGCAGGTGGCAGCTAATCCGAAAGTGGTCTAAGGTCCCCTCTCCCCCTAAGAAACAGCAACAGAATCAAACAGAAAAAAAAAAAGAGGCAAAATCATTCCAGAAGGAGAGGGCTTTCACCCCAGTTTGACACAGGTAAAAACTGCAACGAATCAGAATTGGTGGTGGGGGTGGGGGGTAGACCCACTGTAAACAATCGTCATTTATAACCTTCACCCTGTGCTAAGCAACCTGGGGGGATTCTACCTGCCTCTATGGGGTTACCTGTTGCTCAAAGGAAAACAAAAAGGCAGGCATTTTACACAAACATCAAACACAACCGAAGTCAAACATCTGTCAACTTGTAAACACTGGAAAGCAAAGTAGGAAGAGAGGAAGAAAGGGAAAGGGAAGAAACAGTGGAAGGAAAACAAAGGAAAAAGACGTGGAATGAGCTGCGATTTGGCATTCCTCCTATGGCGCTGGAGTCTACATGGGAACTGAAGCAGCCAACGGGAGCGCTGCGCTTTGCATACCGAACAAGTACAGAGTGAACGGAAAGCCTAACTTCTTTGTGAGGTTCTACCGAGTCCCAACTTGACTGAAAGTATAAAAATAAGCTGCGAACCCGGTTCATTCGGTTAGTCTGAGCTCTTGGAAGCATTTTTCTGAAACCGATCTGTGCCAATTGGGTAACACCAATTGCAGCCTTTCTGAACCTAGATTTTTTTTCTTTCTGAGCTTCCTAGATTCTTAATTTGGGGTCCTTTTGTTTGATTTTTAAATGGTTTCAGGGAACGGAGTGTCCTAGTTTGGCTGTGGGTTTAACCTTTTTGTCTCATTTTTTTTACAAGTGAGTGTGCAACAAAGGAGCCCTTTCTAGAAACCTACAAAAAGGCAATCCTCTGTTATCTGTTTTTTTTTTAAAGGCAAGAGACACTAGAGGAATGAGTGTGTGAGTGTGTGTGTGTGTGTGTACGCACGTGTGCGTGTGTGTGAGAGAGAGAGAGACGGAGAGAGACGGGAGAGAGGGAGAGAGAGATTTGGGGATGCTCTGGTGAAGCCGCTGCTGTGTCACTTTTTATTTTGATCTTTGCTTGTTGCTAGGTACCCATCATGCTTTGCTCTCATTCTCTTTTGTTTGTGTGGCATCGTTGGGGACCGTCTTGACTTCAGTTGGCGCTGGCTTTGCTTCTGACTCCTGGGACTCGGACTTTGCTTCTACAGGACCCTTCCTGCAGAGAAACACAAATAGCGCAGCTGAGATCACAGTATACTGCCCTGCGAATACCGCCCCTCTCCCCGCGCAATCTGGGGGGGCTTCAGCTGCAGCTGGGACATCCAACCTTGTGTGCAGGTTGATGTCACCTCAGCGTTCTCCAAGTGACTCACGCCTGGGGAATGTCCCCAGAAATTTTGGGTGTCATGACCTTAAAAGCAACCAGGCGATTTCGAGGTGCAGCTAGGTGGAGGTGCTCTAGTCAGAGAACAGTCCTTTCTTCCTCTGGCTTTGATCGCCTCCAGGGGCCCTGTGGTAACTCCGGGCAGGAGGAGAGAAGGTTTTCTCTCTCACACCCTGATAAGCAGAAGCGCTGTAGCTCAGTTTGCTATATGTACCAGGTTCTGCTTCAGGTACCAGTTCCAGGGACTCCTATTGTAAGCCGCCTCACTTTTGCCTGCCCCCAACCTTACACCCCAGCTGTTTCAGGATGGTGGCTTGAACAGGGTGAGAAAATATGGTTACCAGGTTAAGAGGCTAGAATGGGCCTGCTTGTTGCAAGGGACTGGAAGGGACAGCCACATTTATAAACCTTTATAAAAGCCCAGGCAGGCATGCTTCTGTCTCCACAGGTCTCACAAGGCAGAGTCCAGCCTAAAGCCCATGAGAGCTAACACAGCTATCATGATTCCACTGTATTTAGCATCCCACTTAAGAAATCGGAAGGTTGAGAACTTGAACTTGGAGACAGGCATTGAGTATCTGGGAGTCTTAGGTAGGGGTGGGCCTTGCAGCCAGTGTGTGACAGAGCTGTCTGTGGGCTGGACCCTCCTTGCCCACGCACCTCACCATGGCTACCTCTTTTCTTCCTGAATACAACGGTGCCTTTCTCAGGAGGCCTTGGCCTGGCCCTGGATAGCACCCACACACTCTGGGCGCGGGATGACAGAGAAAGGCACCTTGGCCTCCTTAGTGTCTTCTCAAGCTCTGCTCGCCAGTGACCCAACTGCAAAGGCATCCCCGGGGAAAACAGAAGCATGGCTAGGATTATGAGGATGAAACATAATTAACATGGCCTAATTAGTGAGCCGGCAGCTTCTTCGCGCCTATCCCACTGCACTGCCCCTGCTCCTGCCTGACTCCAGGCCCCTGACTGATAGTTGCCTCCTAGAAGCCCTGCAAGAGGCTGAGGACACATCAAACAAGGAGGACACAGCACAACACAGACACACACCACCACAGGACACAACCCAGTGACAGCAGACAAAGAGAGGCCGTACTCGGTCTTTGCTGGTGCAGGCGGCACCGCGCTGTCTGCAGTGGGAGGAGCAAGCTCAGAGGCTTGTCCACTGGCCCCAGTGGCCGGAGCAGGAGAGCCCAGGGCTGCAAAAACATCCTTTGCAAGGTCAATATCTGGGGTCTTGAAGTTCCCTTCGTCCATTTTTAAGTCCTCGCCCTGGGAAGGGTTTGTGGTGCTGACGGAGGCAGCCTTGCTCTTCGGGCTAGCAGGGGCTGTGGCTGCCTCAGGTGGGTTCTTCATGGCGCCAGGCTGGGTGGGCTCTGGGTCCGGGCCTTTGGTGCTGGGGGCTTCCTGCTTGGCCTGGGGGGCTTCTGTGGCAGGGGCAGCTACTGCTGCTAAGGGGCTGGCTGCCCCAGCTGGGGTGGGGGTTGGAGCAGGGGACAGCTTACTGGCTGGAGGGACTTTGGAGGCCTCCCCCGCGTTGGCAGGGGTGCTGGGGCTGAGTACAGCTCCTTGGTTAGCCAGGACAGTGGAGGACAAATTGCTAGCAGAGGGAGTTGAGGTCGGGGTATCGCTCAGGTCAACAAGAGGAGCAACCTTTGGGGCCGAGGCTGGGGGCGTGGATGCGGCAGTGACACCGGGCCCCTTGGAAGGGGTGGCCTGACCAGTGGGCACAGAATTGGAGTCCGGCACAGCTGTGGCCGGTGGGGCAATACTGGAGGTCAGTGTAGTGGTCTCACTGGTGGGGCTGTTCTGAGCAGTGGCAAAAGTTTCGGTGATAGTGTCAGAGTTAGTGGTGACGGTGGTGACAGAAGGCAGCATGTCCTCGACAGTGGCTGTGGTGTCAGCAGGCAGCCTGTGGGGAGGACAGGAAGTAGAAAGAGAATAGACAATGAAGCTGAGACATGACAGAGAAGCTAGATAGATCGGAGGCAAGGAGAGGAGCTGAGGGAAGGCATGCAACCGGACACGGGCAGGAACGTGGGCCCACAGAGAAACGAGGACGAAGAGGAAGTACACGCCCCAGGCGGGCAGAAGAGGACACAGGAGACAACAAAGAACGTGGCAGTCTCAAAGGGACCTGCTAGCCTTCCTCCATGCCGACACCCCGTCAGCTCTCTATACAGGGCTCCAATCTCCTACAGACCTCTCTGGTGTTCTCTTGTGCCACCCTGGATCTCCACGCCAGGGAAGGCAGTTGACGCCCATCATATACCGTTCTAGGTTTCCGGAGCCCCATAGAAATGGGGTCCAGTTACCTTACAGCTCTTCCTAGGCAGGGACGGGACCAGATGAGAGGAACAGTGCTCCCAATGGCTCCCGTGTGTCAGGATAGACACATACATCCAGCCACAGATGTATGTTCCTGTGAGAAGTGCTTCTTTCAGATCTATTAGATCCTTGATAGGCAAGCGGGCATGATAGCCATGGCTGGTCAGAGCCCCTGAGGATCTCTGAGATTTCTGAATAGAAGAGGTCCAGGGAACCTTACCAGGCCCCCCAACTTTTCTAGCATAGAAGATATTAAAAGCGCAGTCCTTTTCTCAATGAGTTTAAGCAGTTCCTAGAATATGTGTGGGATTTGGGAGGAGTCTTGGGAATCCCACTTAATGAGAAGAGCCTGGTAAGGACCCACCATGACCCAAGGAGAAGCAAGAATGCCTTCTCTCCAAGGAGAGTGGATTCAGACATTGTCCGGCCAAGAGGTCTTCTGACCGAGGGCTCCAGAGTTCAGGTTTCCATGTTTGGCCAGGAGCCGAGGGTGAGAAGCAGGGAAGGTTGGGGTGGGGTGATGAGGTAGAACTGGGGAATCTACTGAGGAGGTGCCAGTCCCTCCTAGTCCACGTACTCGGGCTCTGTCAGCGGTGTGGTCTCGTTGGGCTCTGTGTGCTTCCCTCCATCATGGTTTGGAGTCCGTTCCTCCTCTGTTCGGACCTCCACGATGGGTTCTTTGGATTCATCTTTCCTGTGGAGAGAGTTCTGCTGGTTAGATCCCAGGGCAGCTGCAGAGGGAAGAAAGATGTCTAGGAAAAGAAGCTGCAGCAAGGGCCATCAGGGTCCAGCCTGTGGCTGGCAAAGTGGGCCAGATTCCTGTCTGTACCAGCCTAGCCCAGAGTATATAAGGTCATTAGCCCTACTTCAGTTCTCCCATCCATAAATTAGGATAAGTAATAGTGTATAACTCACCTATCTATGAGAACAGAATGAGATCATTCGTGTAAAGTTTTTAGCACAGTGCAGATAAATCTCCAATGTAAACACATGTGCATACATATGTATGCATGTATACACATATATTGTAACTGTGATACACAGGTCCATGGGCATGCATACGCATATATATATATATATGTATATATATGTAGAGAGAGAGAGAGAAAGGGAGAGAGAGAGATCTGTATATATACAGTTTCCAGCAAGTGGGAGGGCTCAACAACTCCATCTTCCCACTCCATCCTTTCTCAGCTTGCTATAACAGGCCCACTCACCCACCAACTCCAAAATCTCCTGCTAACTAGCTAACAGATGCTGCAGGAGGGAAAGAATATATGTAGTGTCCCTCCAAGAGGAGAGGGATCTATATTCATTCTTCTCCTTTGGGTACCCTACAGTCAGGATGCAGGGTGTTGCCTTCAGGAGCTGCAAGATAAATATTGGATGAGTGGCAAATGAATGGACGAGAGATGAAGTGCACACTTCCAACGCTGGTCCTCTCCAATCATAGCTAATTCTGAGCCCCTCTCTTGACCTTCCTCAGGAATTTCCAAATCTTTATGAGACTTTAGAACCTAGGGAGGACCCAAGATGCTGCTTTTCAAACTGGTAACCCCACCTTGCCTTAAACCCATTCTTAGAGAGATTTGCTTTGATAATGTAACCACTCAGAGTTCTCGTGTGGGAAACAATAAAGCTAAAGGGTAGGTCACCCCAACACTGTCAGACAGCACAGGGCTAGGCCCTGGGCTGGGTGGAGCCTTGACCTCACTGACACGATGGGTTTGCACTCACGAGAAAGCAGCCTTGCCCTCCTCCATGTCTTTGCCCTTGGCTCCGGGCCCAGCTTTGCCACACAGGTTAACAGCAATGCACATGAGCAGGCCACACTTGTTCAGGAAGTAGCAGGTAATGTCCATGACCACCAGGAGCAGGACGAAGATGACAATGAGGATGCCCACGATGGCACCGGTGCTCAGGCCTGCGGTGGGGCTGCCGTTGGCTTAAGTAGGAAAGAGATGGTTGGTGGTTAGCAGGCTTGGCTATGAGCACCCCTAACCCTCTGGACAACCGTCCCTGGGGGGTGGAGTAGGGCCCTGAGCATAAAATCAAGGCCTTTGTGACCAGTGGTACCTTCTCAAGGGCCTTCTTATGGCTGGTGCAGAGACAAGAGGTTCTCTTCACTTTTTAGATGGGGCATGATGCCCTCATCTCACCCAGGAGACAGGGTTTGGGGGCCCCCACAAATTAAGATGAAGAGAGGGGATTGTGAGCTGTGTCTTCATTTCTGTCCCCAACCCTGTACCTCCTCCCTAAGGCATAGGCTCAACTGGTCTTCAGGAACCCTGGAAGCAGAGTAGGCCCAGACAAGCAGTGCTTGAGGACACCTAGAGTAGACAAATCTAGGAGGGTTCTGCTGCGTCTCTGGACCAATGCAAAAAAGTTTTTTGATGTAGTTAGGCAGTAGCTGCTGGCTCCTGATGTTAGGCTGTATTGTGATAGACAGGGTCCCATATGGGGTTCCCAGGACTGCCTTAGATCTTGGGGAGATGTCAGGCCCAATGGGATGCCCAACATATCAGTCTACACCCTTTCCCCTCTTGAAGTAAGTCTAAAGAACTTTAACTATGAGGGAACTGGGGTCTCATTTTAACCTTTCTTTTTGTGATCCATGAAACTCCTGAGACACAGCAGCCTCCCCAGGCCCCACAGGTAAGGCAAAAGGTCTGGGAATACTCACCATGTGGGAGCCAGACATGCTGGGATCAGACTTCAGGAAAACCTGTAGACTTACCCAGATTTGAACATTCTCACAGACAGTCATACCCACGCACAGGACAAATGTTCACATTCTCACCCCCAGACAGTACACAGCCTCTTACTTCCGGCTGGGTTTTCTGTGTCTAACCCCCCTGGTGTCCATTAGCAGTCCTCCAAGACCTTGGCCTATACATTCTCTCACAGAAGGACCCTGTCTGAGTTCCCCGTGGGACTCCACTGACAACAGTTTTCTGACAGGGACCCACTGACTCCCATAAATAGCAGTATTGTGGGAAGCAAGACCCTGAACAGAATTCTGCCTATGGACGCCATTGTGGAGATGATAGTCTCAGACTGACATATGGGCACTTCTCATTCATTCATTCTTCAAGTGCAAACCCATTCTTATAGTGATGTTTTATCGATGTTTTAATAAATAAAGCTTGCCTGAAGATCAGAGGGTAAAACTAAGTCACTAGATGCCAGACAGTAATTTCATACACCTTTAATACCATGATGTGGGAGACAGAGGCAGATGGATTTCTGTGAGTTCAAGGCCACCCTGGGCTATAGAAGATCAATGCAGAGACAGATCTAGGTAGTGGTGGCTCACACCTTTAATCCCAGTCCTAGGGAGTCACATGCCTTTAATCCCAGCACTAAAGGGGAACAGAAAGCAGGAGGAGACAGAGGCTCAGGGCTCAGTCTGCAGTCGCCCAGCCTTGGCAGAGGTAAGACTGCTCTAGTGGCTTGGCTGCTTTGCTTTTCTAATCTTCAGCTTGAACCCTATTATCTGTCTCCGGGTTTTTATTCATGCTACACAATCTACCATTAGGTCTTGGCTGATGTTTCCTGTGTTCCCAAGGGACCCAGGATACCCAGGTCGTGAACTGGCTGCAAGAATTACAACTCACAGCACTTGCGAAGTGGGCTCAGCTGTCTCCACTGCCAGTTCCTCTACTTCCTCAGCTGCCAAGCCTGTTCCAGCAGCTTGCCAGCCTCATCTTAGGCCGTCCCTCCAGACAAGGGGAGGGAAGAGCATCTCAGGATAAGCGGTACTGCATATGTGTTGTCGTTTTCCTATTAATAATGTCAGAGTTTCGAGACAGGATCTCCCTGCTCAGGGGCTCCGATCCTTTTCCCTCACTTCCTGAGAGCTATTAGAGGTGTCCACCAGCACACCTGGCCACTGCTTTTCATTCCTGTGTAGCCTAACTTCTGCCCCTACTAAGAAACCTTGCCCAGGTACTGGAGTACTTCCTAAGGACAAACTCCAATGCTAGCCCAGAATGCCCAGAATAGAGACGAAAGGGTACTGGAATCAGGAGACGGTCACATCCCTTGTGGATGGCACAGAATAGTTAAGTCCAGGAGAACTAACAGGACAAGGTCTGGATCCCGCATCTTATGAACAGGTCATAAAAAGAAAAGCAAAAATAAACAAACAATAAACAAAAACAAAACAAAACCCCCTAAAACCTCTCAGACGTCTGTCTTCTCCATGATCTTCCTCTTGCCCTCTGTTGTAAGCACACCTAGGTGTCTTGCATATAAAGAAGGCCTCTTGGAGGCCAGCTTTCCCTCATCTTCCTAGCTAAGAGCTGCCCTCAGCAGTGCCTGGATGGGGCTGGCTGTCTTCTTCGGTTCCTGCTTTGAGAGCTCGGTATTAAAAGCAGTTTTGGCATTCAACTGACTTGCTCCAAGGCTGAGACTTACATATGAGCTCATTTTCCTATGCCTTTCAATGGATCTCACATTTTCTAGGTGCCCAGTTGGATCTGAGTCATTGTGCCACGGCACCCAGGTGCTGAAGTCCTAGTCTCAATACAACTGTCAGGCTCCCTGAATGGTTGAACTGCAGGGCTGGTTTCCTCAGAAATCTCTTATAGGTCTGTCTGCTCCTTCCTGGAGCTGGCTATGACCAGAATGCAGCTTTGGTCAGTTTCTCTCTATTGTAAGATCCCCATGTGTATGTGGTGTGTGTGTGTGTGTGTGTGTGTGTGTGTGTGTGTGTGTGTACTGTTAGGGGGAGAAATGGCTGCTCCATACCCACAAGACCTTGCTAGAAAGCTCTGCATCTGACCCAGCGTGTTACCCCTGACCTCATCTTCAATGACTACCTCCCCAGTTTCGCAAAGGCTCATTCCTCTCTCATTGTCTGCTGAGGACTCCCAGGCAACAGGAACCCTTCAGAGTCGCGTAGAAGGGTACACAGATTTTCATGGGAAAATGCCTTTGACTAGGACTCTCTTTCTTGTCAAGTGTGGGGGTCCAATTTTAAATGTCTTTCCTGGGAATCGGTTATCAAGTACAGACGAGGTGGAGGGAGAGGCTTTTAATTTGGGCACTGTGTTGGACACAGATATCAAAGAAAATCAAAACACGCTGTTGAGTTTACATGAACTGTTATATCCTTTAATAATGCAAAGGTGTAAACTTCATAAAGTCTTGCTGATTATCTACACAACAACGTTAGCATTCTTATTAGTAGAAAAAACGTGATCTGAACCTGCTGTATAAATATTCTAAAAATGAGAAGAGAACCCTCATGGCAGATGGTATGTGGTCTGTACTGATTCACAGTGCAGGGGGTGGGGTGAGCTCACTCCCTTGGGGCTACCTGGGGGCTGCTCTCTTAGGGACTCCTGGCTGGACTAGGAGCCCTAGCCTTCTCAGAGGCACCAAGTGTCTGTCTGGAGCTAGCGCACACTAAAGATGTCTCCATTACAAAGGGGCTGGAATAAGCCCCAAGGTTTTCCAGCTGGGCCCTGTGTCTGCTAAGAGTACGGGACCATGCTTGGGCTCTGGAAATTTAGCGTTGATCTTCCAAGGTCCCCTTAGAAATATTGACACCATCCCTCTCCTACGAGTGGGTCAGTGATGAGGCAGAGGCAGACTCCGAGCTCTCCTAGAGTTAATGCATGTGACAGCTCTCCAGGGCCACCAGAAGAGGACCTTAATAGGACCTCTTTTGCCCTCCCTGAAGCTTTCCTTAGCTGACCTATGATTTTCATATCAGGCTCCAAAGCCCCATGTTCTTTTCGCTGCTGTATCGCCCTGTGCCCAAGAGCCATCTTGTTTCACTGAGCTGGTGGGTAGATGCCAAGGTTCCAGAGCAGAGGTTCGGAGCTGAGCGAGAGGCACTGTCAGTGTTAGCTGCTGAGCTCTGTGAAGCCTCTATCTATGCTGAACACTGGGGATACTGGCAGGTGGCAACCGAGTTAGTTGGCTTTGCCTGCAGACCACAATTCGGGGTCATTTGGATTCCCAGAGGGAAATGCTAGTCTTTGAGCATTAAAAAGGAACAACAGAAATGAAATCGGTAAAGAACCAAAGGAACATAAATTAAACGTCCGTGTAGATGCTCAGAGATGAGATAGGCAGAATGACAGGTGCTGTGAGAGGGGAGGGAGGTCCATCCCAAAGTTCACGTGCTGATACTAGTGGTTGGTATTCAGCCTTGGGTCTCATGCATCCGATGCGACACACCCATTTCCTCTTCTGCACGAATCGCACAACGGCAGACAGGAATTCCTGGCTCTTCATAATAATTTTAAAAGTGTCGTGGAGACCATTAGGGAAGCTGGATCATTCTGGAAGTGCAGACAGGCAGACTGCCCAAATGCACTAACACTGTGGGAGAGGGTAGTATGTCCCCTCAATCCCTTACCTTGTGCTCTTTGGAGCATGTAGGGGAAAGGTGGGCAGCGTGACTGACTCACAGAGGATGCTTCCAACCTGCCTGGTATACTGCACTTATGGTGGTGATGTGGGTCATGGCTGGACCACAGACCCCAGGACCTGGAGGTTTCGTGCTCATCTGAAGCATCCTACTGTGCAGTGGAAGAATGAGCTCTATTGGGAGCCAGATCCTAAAAGGCCATTCCTATTGGGCACATCACAGTTTGGCGTTTTTCACAGAGACAGCAGGAGATGTCGGGCTAACACCAGCATTTCAGCAACTTCCAGAATGCTCATCAGCTCCAGGACAACAGACGATTTCTACTTTTCCCACTGCACAGGCTACAGAGGGATTGAATATGTCTATCATGACAGCAGAGCGCTCAGGTGAGTCACCACACGGGTACTTAAATACTTGGGATTTAAATACCTAAGTACAACATGGGTACTTGAATACTTAACCGCCGGCGAAGCTAACTACCTATTGAAAGGTGGAGGGCAGGACGCAGTGTTAGAGTGAAGGGCACATGTGGTGACTTTAGCAATCTGAGCCAAGCTTTAGAAGTCTAGAATCCTTCCTCTGCCGTATTTATGAACAACAAAAAACACAAGTAACAGATAGCAGAAACCTCCCCATAAACCTTGCATAATGCTGTCTTTGAAAAATAGTACAGAAAGAAATACCTCTCAAACCTCTCAATTTCTTTCTTTCTTTCTTTCTTTCTTTCTTTCTTTCTTTCTTTCTTTCTTTCTTTCTTTCTCTGTCTCTCTTTTTTCCTCTCTCTCTTTCTCTTTACTGCTCTTAAGAAGGGGGAAGACCCCATACAAAGTGACAGAATAGTTCCACCACATGACAAAATCTCAGGAGGTAAATCTGATTCCAATCACCAAGACCTTCCTTGCTCACACAGAACATTTGCTCAGTAGCTGTGGTCGGGCAACCGCAGGCCTGACAGGATCTTTCAAAGGGGAACAACTGATCGTTTTTCATAGGAACTGGGCTTTTTAAGCAATTATAATTTGTGTGTGTGTGTGTGCGCGCGCGCGTGTATGTGTTTTCAAGTTCCTAACATAGCAAAAGAAGAGTCACCACAGAGAAAAGCAATGAGACCAAGGTGTAGGAGGTAGAACTTCCTCCCAAGGTGGCTGCAGGGGTCAAGCAATGGGTCCCAGAGGACAGGTGGTTGTTGAGACATAAATGTGGCAGTGGGGATGTCCCAGTGACGTCCAAGGTGACAAGTGTGACGACGGACACAGGGAGGGTATGGGAGGGGAGGAGAGAGAAGGCAGAGACAGAAACAGAGGGGGAAAATAGATAAAAAAAAAAAGAAAGAAAAAATAGGTCAAATATAGAAAACACAAGAATCCAAGGTTAATTTAACTTAGTAAGTTAGGCTGACAAACGTTAGGAGAGTTCAGTGCTGTATCAACATCATAGGCCGGGTCAGCAGCTCAGCGATACCAGAAGCAGCATAGCGGGGGTTAATCTGGGGGTGGGGGCCAGCGAGCAAATGAAATTAAAGTGAGAGAGCAGGGGCCTCTGCAGTAGAGGAGCGGGGTCAGGTCAGGAGAATGTTACCTCTCACTGAGATGGAGCCTCTGAGGCGCAGCAGCGAGTGTGCCCTTCTTGTGTCTAGGTCTTTGCTGGTCCAGGCTGAGATGCAGCGCCTGGCTGCACTACAGCCATGGCACTGGGGAGGCGGGGCAGTCTTTGAAGAGCCAAAGCAGACCTGTCTTTCTACTGCGCAAGCCCCACCATCGTGCTGGTGGAGTCCTGAACATCTGTCTCACCTTCTGCCAGCCTGAAGACCACAGAATTCGACCATGGATCTATGTCTTATAATGCAAAGCGGCTTTGTTCTTGAATTCCAATAAAATGGCTAGGAGAGTCCAACCAGAGCGGTCTCCTTTCAGTTAGGTGCGCGGCAGTCAGAGAGTCACTATGGACAAGGTAAGGCCCTTCTAACCCTGTCTAGCTTAAGAGGGAGCCTGGATGATGTTCTCCAAGGTCATCGTGTGTCGAGCACTCTCTAGCATTTCTCATGCTCGCACTGGAAGCCCAGAAAGTGAAGTGGCTGGCAGTGCCCAGCCTGGGAACACAGCATGCCCAAGCATGCTGCCTGTCAAGTCTCACTGTGGGGAAGAACTAGCCTATGGCCTGATGCAAAGGGCTTAACTTAAGCCTCACTAGTCCCCGAAGCTTAAGAGGCTCAAAAGCATGGATCCAACACATGTAACACTCTCAGTTCCAAGGGAAAACCAACCAAAGAACACAGGAAAGAAGGGACAGAGGAAAAGCAGGACCACCTCCATTTGGGCGCTCTATTGAGATACAACGAGGACAACTTCCTGTAGTCACATCCAAGGACCTCTTTTTAGTACTGAGATCCTAAACAGAGCAAGAAGCCCTCCCCATAGTGCAATCAACCAATTGACGTGTCTAGTCTACAGCTCAACCTTCACCTGCCAACTGGCTGGAGGCCCCAAACATCTCCCCTGTTTGGGGGAGTCAACATACACCCACTCACACACACATACACACAACCATAAAGAGCCACACACCAAGATCTCCTTCTGTTGCTACCCACTTTGGCACATATGACCCTACATGGCAGGCAGCCTATCACCTTTCTGGCCTGGCTTTCCCCAGGGAAGAGCAAGCTTGACAACAGCTCATCAGCTAAGTAAGTTCTCTAGACAGGGTAGACATGATGGGCCTGCTCCAGGCTGTCCTCCTACCACATCTGAACATGGTAGAGCATAAAAGGCCTTCTCCAACAGAGTGCATCTATATGATCTATGGCCATCTCTCCTGCCTGTGGCTGGCATTTGCCTGGCTCTGGAAAGGCAAAGTGATGGCTGAATCTTCTTGGAGGAATTTGCCTAATCAGGGGACCGGCCGCTAGCCTGGGGTATCCGGCCCAGCAATCAGAGCTCTCACTTTATTCCCACACTTGAGTTGGTCCTGGATCCTATAGAGGAATCTGCATCTCCTAGGAGCACTGCTGCTACCATGGTCTAGCAGACTGGCTGCCCTTCCATTGATGGTGCTTCCCAGGATCTAAGTTTTCCACTTGCTTTGTTCCAAGACGTTCAATTCGTCTCTAGCACAGTGGAGAGGTCCCTCGCAGATAAGCATGTTGCTAACTGGGCACCATCTATTCCTTCTCTTGGGGTCACCAGAGAGAAGAGTTAGACCATGGTTATACAGCATAAGCAAGGGTCATATATAAATGGCACAAAACCAGTTATGTGGTCCTAGTATAGAATGCAGATGGCAGAGAAAGTCTCATCAAGGATCCTTGTTCAACCAGCAACCAAGGCAAGGCACGGGTTTGGGCGTTTCCCATCTGAGGGAGTCCCATAGACTGGTTAGCATTGATATTTCAAGGTCAAATGAAATAGGACCTTTTGCCCCAGGATGCTTGGCAACACTCTCCTGGGGAGTCTGGTACATGTCAACCCACTGCACAGATGGGGCTAAGGCAAAACTAAGCTTGGCATGAGCAACCAGTCATGAGGATGGCTGTAAGCAAGCAAGTTGTCAGGGTTGTTCAGGCGCATTAGGAGGCGTGGCACGTATGCATTAATTCAAAGCGGGAAAACAGACAGAAAACAGAGGTGGCTGTACCTGGGATGGCCGTGGGCTGGGCTAAGGTCTTGAACACAAAATGAGCTGCCTTGGATTTCCCTTGCTGATTCTCAGCTACCACAGATACTTCATATTCGGCGTTCCAGTCCAGGGACTTGAGCATGACGTGGTCACTGCCAGATGGGAGCCTGATTTCGGGTTTCCATTCAGAGGCAAGTTTCTGGGGACAGTGGAAGACAGCAGGGAGCTTGAGTGAGCACACTGGAGAGACTGGCTAAGAGGCACAGATGGATGGTGACTGAAAACTATGGGGTTAAAATGTAAGAAAATGGAAACCAATGAGGCTTTTCCATACTGGAGCATCCTCCTGGTTTGCTTGCCAACACCAACAGTAAGTAAGGAATTGTCAGTGTGGCACGGTTTTGACTTCACTACCGACCAACTTCAGGACTGACAGGGGTTCAAATGCTGTCCTCTATCTACCCTAGCTTCCTTATACTCTGGAATAAGGGCTTCTCAGAGGAGTGAAAGCAAATGTTCCTTGTTATATTTCAGAACGCTGTCCACATTCGGATAGGTGAGTGATCTATTGAGGAGCCTCTGTAGGCCAGGTGCTGCAGTTAGGGCCGCCTGTACCATCTTCATCACATCCCTCCAACAAACCTCTGGGCACCACTTGAGGCTCTTACTAAATCTGAGCAAGTGGTTAGGCTGACTTCCCAAGTCAGCCTGCAGTCAAGGTTGGAGCCCAGCCTCTTCAAACCCAAACTGCATTTCCCCTTTCATAACAGGGAGCCCAGCAAACACGTGCTGAACTGAACTGGGCTGCTCTGTTCCCTGTCATGTGGCCTGGACTCATTGTGGCTGAACAAGAGAAGGATGTTCATTGGGCTCACATGGAGTATCCCACAGTACTTTACAAACACTGGTCAGGGCATAAGGAGAGATGCAAAATTCTGGAGATTTCCCCCTTTTCTCCCAACCTCCCCTCTAGGTATATCCTACATGCTTGCCAAGGAGTTTGTACTGGAAGAGAGTTTCCAAAGCTATTGCTAGGCAACCACCTGCATAGCAAAACAGTGTGGGAGAGGCCTCAAGTCCTCCTAAGAAATCTTCAGATGGTTTTCTAGTTGCAAGGCTCAGCATGTCATAGTCTCTGGCTTTTTCAAAAGCCATATACACCTCAGGTACGAGTTGGGCACCTGGGGGGGGGGAGGGTTTGACAAGTATGTTGTGAATAGGGTTAGAACACGGCAAGTGTCAGGAAAGAGGCAGTCCAGGGAACATCACAGATCCTGGCCTAGGGCTGGAGGAAGAGGTTTACTTGGAAAAGTAGTTCTGATCAGCTACAAACATGCCTTTAGTGTTCATTCCAGGGCTGAGAGTGTTGTGGGAATTGCTCAGAGGGGATTCTAATACCCTATAAACTAACCGGGAAGCCTGGGTTGTGCTGTAAGTGAGCTTTGCACATGTTGCTATGGTGCTGTTTTAATTTAAAACAAAGAAGCTGGGCTGTCTCTCTTTACTCTTCTTTCTCTGCATTCCTCGGCAAACATCATTACAAAAGAGACAACCAGGCGATAAAGCAAACACTCAGGAAAGCAAACTTTATGCTATGTAATACATATTAATAATATGTGATTGCATTTAGCAAACATGAAGCCTCAAAGTGGAAGAGGATGGTTAAAGTCATTGAAATAAAAAAAAAAAATAGCCCGGCATTTTGTTCCTCTGTCTGTTAAACAGAGCCACAGTGACTGTTCAGGCAAACAGACTTCAGGTTGTCTTCCTATGGGAGAGATTGCTAGCTGGGTCCTGTATCCTAGTTACCATTTACAGAGGTTTCGAAGCATCTGGGACATTTTGGGACCTCTACATATATTGTGACTGATCTGAAGTTATTTTATTCCCCTTTTCAGATCAGGAAATCGAGGTTTGGGAAGACGAGGTTATCTGTCCTTCAGGTCACATGCTGGCAAATAGTAAAGCTGGAATTTGATGCCGTTCAGGCTTGTAATAGCCAGAGGCATTCCAACTACCACAGCATCTCTCCAGCTAGGTCATTCAGGGCCACCTGGCAAGTCTTGGCATTCTTCCCAGTAGTAACAAGCTACAGGGCCTCCTATATAGTTGTATCTCCAGGCTGACCCTTAAGGAAGTTAAGGAAGTTAGCCCTTAAGTCTTCTCCTACTGTGGCGGCTCATAGCTGACTCCTCTGAGAATCAGTTGGGAGAGCTGAGTAGACAGAGGTCTGTCCTCCGGCAACAGGGTGTGCATGCCTGTAGGTCTCTAGGATAGACCCACAAGATTCACATGGGAGCTGTTCCCAGGAGAGGTAGGGATGAGCATACTTCCTGCAGAAAGCCTTATTTGGGCTTCATGGAGAACGCAAGCTGCTCCCTGGACCATTTCCTCCAACTATTAAGAAATCTTAGTAACAGGTTATCCCCAGCACCCAGAGACTGTCACGACCCACTGCCACCACCCATGGCCCGCGACTGCTTGCCTAATGTCATTCTGAAAGCGGAAGAGAGCGATTCTTAGTTTGGGGCGTGGGAATGAAAGAAGGACTACCTAAGAGATCTTAGGTAGGTGGTGAGCGAGTCACCAGCGGAAGCTTGGAGTCAAGCTGTCTGTTAGCAGTTAGCCCAGCTGAGGTGCTGAGAAGGGCAGGCAGGGGATCCAACTTTGGATCTCGAAGTAAGCCAGGCGAGAGCCTAGGCTCCTCAGCTAGATAAGACTGGATTCCAACTCAGCCTTGCCCATAAGTGCGGAGACATCAGTTGCTGGCTGTTATAGCTCTAGCTGCTTCATCTGCAATGTGGGGGCTAACTGTAATCCCCACTTCCTGGGATCCTGTGCAGGAACTACGCCTGGATGGAGCACCCAGTCCAGGAGACACACTTTATCAAAAGCAATGGCTGCTGGATGGCAGCATGACAATTTTGCATAGAAGTCTTAGATTATGGAGAAAAAAAAACACTGTAGAAAAACTGAAAGAATCAGGAAAACCATGATGATGTTCTCACCATCCCAACCATAGCAGAAGTCTTCAAATGGGTCCACCGTGGGCACAGCCTCACAGCAGTACATCAGTCTTGTGGTTTAAAACCTTTGCTAAGTTTCATGGGTCTCCTTCAAGTTGCCCAGTGGGACCCTGCCCTACCCTTGCCTCACCTGGAATTCTCGAGTTCTTGATCCAACAAGGTAGGTATCAGGGTGCCAGGGTTGGGAGAGGGGCTCTGAGGATGGGGACTACTCACCGCTCGGTACTTGACCAGATAGTGCCTGATTGGGGAGCCTCCGTCATCCTGCTTGATCAAGTTCACTTTGATGGAGTTCCCATCCTCTCCCATCTGCCCTTCCAGCTTGGGTGCACTGGGTTCCCCTGAAACAGCCAGCAAATGCCCATGAAATCTGGGTGCATGGGATGAGAAGTAGGCCCATCAAAACGGGACAGAGTGATGCGGTGGGGCTGGGCACTGTCCTTGCTTTATCGGAAATTCAAATGGTTAACAAGCAATGAATGTAGAACTCTGAATCCCACTGGACTGCCTCATTCGGTCTTAGCTGGGGGTGCTTTGTGGGAATGTTCTAGAAAACACTCTCTATGCACACAGTTCTTTTTCTGTCTCTCTCACTGGTACTCACATTTCCTCCCCCAACTCTGCATGTTTGATTTCTATACACCTGACACATCTTGACAGAGTGCCTGAAATATGGGCAAATGTAAGCAGATCTGAATAGGAAATTTTAAAGCATCGAATTGCTTTTCAGAATAACTCCGTGTTTTTTTTTTCCCCTGGGCACATCGTAACTCACCCTCGAGTCCCGAGGGCTTGGTCACTGGTGGGGGTGAATGATGCTATGTTCTTGCAACCAGCTTTCCATGAATTAAGTTTTATTGCTCAACATCACTTAAAACCACGTTTCCAATTGTGGCTAAATAAAACACGAATCGCCATAGGCAAGTTTCCTGTGAATGTAACTACATTTACGGCTCAGTCAAGTGAGCGATAATCTTTGGCTCTTTAATGTATTAAAGTAACAATCATTGCGGACATTTTCTTTTAAGAGGAGTAGGGGGAATGGCTTTAGCATTTTACAACAAGAAAAGCAAAGTTGTTTGTTTCTCTGCATTTGGAGTTTATGCTCACTTGGATGGTAGCATCGTGAATCCTGAACCTGCGTGGGATCTATCAAAGAGCGCCAGGGTGGCTCTGCAATGTGATGCTGACCTATTGGACGAGAAACTACAAGCCTGAGCTAAGAGGAGCAGATGAGAAAATGCGTACTACAGGGTTAAAATTAAAACTCTGTGCTTGTAGGAACCAGGACTTCCAGAGAGGACCAGACTCTGATCTATTTCCTGATCTCATGGGGAGGTTGTAGTCCACTATCTTTCTAAGCAGGGTACTGAAAAAATGGGGGGATGTGACAGGAGAGCCAGGAAGGGACTTGTCACTAGGGAAAGAAGCTGATTACCTCACATTGCACCCCTGGCCATACATATGGAAGGCTGGAGTTTAGCTTGGTGACCCTGTTCAGGTGTTGGGAGCCTCCTCCCTTGGATTCAAAGATAGAAGCAGAGAGAACAAGCCACCCAGAGCCCCGCTAGACACCCCCTGGGGTACAGCATGCACATTGTCTGGAGCTGGTTAGAAACCCAGCCTCCTGCTGTAGCAGGCAGGATTCCTTGGTGAGATGTGTGGGCCAGGAGGCTTTGAGAAGTGGGAGGAGATGAGGACGAACGCATACTGCAACGGTTTTGATGCCCGGAGGTTATTTAGGAAAAGTCAGTCTTAATGTCTGCTCTCTACAACTGGGAATTTAAGAAACATAAAAAAGTAGAAATACAAAGATAAATAGGTTTTAGAAAAATACTTGTCCTGTTTTTTATTTTTAAGCTAGAATGTAGCCACTGTCCCCAGCTATTTAGAGAAAAGCATTTGGACCTGGTTTGTTTATGTCAATCTCTGTAGGCTTTTCAAATTCCTTCGAGCTTTTCTAGCATCTTAGGCAATAAGTCAGTGGTGTCTACACCATTATAAATGCCCAGTGTGACTCAAAGCGGAGTCTGCTGTAGAATGAGGTCGGGCCTTTTGGTGGATTGCGCAATGCTGAAGGCCATAGTGCTGAAAGGGCCGTGAGAGAACTCAACAAGTTCTATTCTCTGACAGAACTGAGGTGACCACTTTATCCCAGGGACCCTCAAACATTACAGGTTTTAACACTGAGAGTTCAATATCCCAGGAAACCGCTTAGACCTGAAATAACTGGGATGGTTGGTGGCCAGGACTGAATGGAAGTGGTATGATGGCTTCCTGCACTCAGAATCATGATATGGACTGAGCTGGGTGTCCCCCTGCTGAGGAAGGAGGGGATATTCCAGGCAGAGTCAGCACCTGGAAACACTTCCTCTGAACTCTGCTTCTTGGGAGCTATAAAAGCATCATCTGCCTTAGTTTGTTTCCACTCTTGCAAACAGGGGCACAGAATCAAATCTAAGGCCCCTTCTACCTTTGCCACCCCTGCATGGGTAGATTTAGGGGAATTCCCAACTTTGCCTTGGTTATTCTTCACAACACCATGGGGGTGGAAGACACAATAAATGGCCTCCAGCCAACCTTTTTCAGGAGACACACCCTAAGATCAACAGCTCTGTGTCTTGAAGATGCACCATTGTCAATTTCTTGCTTTACAGTTTTGTAAAGTTTTCTTTAAAAATACTCTTGTCTTTGAAGAGAGACTTCCAAGTCCCTTTAAAGGCATGTAAATGAACAGGCATCTTCCCCAGGAGTCCCTGAAGAACCCAGCAGCTCTGCTGAAGGTAGTCTCTTATCTCTGAATTTGTTTCCAAAAATATATGCCTATAATCTCAAAACAACACCTAAAAACTCTGCCACAGCTCCGACATTTACCGCACTCAAACAGTAGAGTTAGCTATCATTCTGTCTGACAAGGTTACTCTCCGATTCATATTTATTTTAGCTCGGAGGTAGAACATTTCATATCATACAGCATTTAGGTTTCATTTAGAAAGCTTTGCCTATGATTAATCATACAAATATGTGTTGAATTGAGTTTTAGAAGTTGTCTATCAGGCAATGAAATCTCAAAGGTGAATGACATGATTTTCTAACAAAATGGAAAAAAATATAGTCTTATGATCATTAAAAAAGATAGTGGGGTCCTTGGGCAGTAGTATATATAACCTTTCCTATGACCTGAAGGAAGATTTATTTTCAGTTAACGTGGAGCTTCGGAGCAATTCGGTGGCCCTACAAGTGTTTGTGAGTTCACTAGGATTGGGGAAGAGCAGTTGTTAAATCCATTATCTTACTAATCCTCCAACACTTGCTGTCTGGTTTTCCTTCTAGATTAGGAATGGGGCTAACAAAACTTTCCAGTTTGCACAGAACCAGGCTTGGTGAGGACGGGGTCACTGCAGAGACAATGGAGTCTCAGTGTTAAAAAGGCTCACTGCTTAATTGAACACAGTAGCAGAGGAAATGATTCAGGGGGTCCCAAGGTTCTGGGGCGGCTGCTGCTGTGACTGAAATCATTATGGGCAATTTCAGAAGAACCTATATTGTAATTATTTGTAAATGTTGGTTTGCCGTTCATCAGCAATAGGCAGGTTGCTTTAAGAAGACCCCCGGGGTTAATTATACCCCTTGAATTTAGCTTCATCTAGGAATCAATTTTTTCCCCTCACGTATTTTATGTTAAAGATGAACACAGTGCTACTTTAAAAACAAACCGTGACAACAACAAATATGAAATCTTGGGTGGTTCAGATATTTTCCAGCAGAATGTAAATCATACATGCAAGGAAAAAATAGTAAGAAGAAGGCCATCTAGTGTTGGCTATACCATGGGCAGGCCCTATGAGAGCCCTCCCAGAAACCATAATTGAATCGTATATTTCTGGCCATGGAGATTACAGGTTCTTCCTTTGGAATTACTGGGCTTTTGAGCCCTTCAATCTGAGTCGGCCTCATGCCTTTCCTCTCATCAGCAGAGGTCTGGAGGTGGAGAAGAACTCCTGGATGCACGACTTCACAACAAAAACCATAGCAAGCTCAGGGCTCGCGTAGGCATCTGTGGACTGCGAACGGAGAGCAAGCGTCCCTGCTCCACTCCAGCAAGCGCAACGCCAGCAGTACGTTTAGCCTGAGAAACCAAGGACCCAACCAGCACCCCACCCGAGGCTCCGTCTCTGTTCACGCTCACTCATTTTAAAGGCTTATTTTTGAATGAGTCACGTATGTATGTGTCTGTGTGTGGGTTTGTGTACAGAAGTGGCCGTGCCCACAGAGATTAGGAGGGGGTGTCAGAGCCTCGGGAGCTGCCTACTGTGGGTGCTGGAACTGACTTGGGCCCTCTACAAAAGTAGTCTTCTTAGCTGCTGAATCAACTCTCCAGCCCTCATTCATTCTGTCTTCTTCATACAGATCTGCGCTGAGGGCGGTGATCTCAGCTACACTCATGGTTCCCTAGTGATAGATCTAGAGTTTGTACTGAAGGCTATCAAATAGCACTGCTGTGAATTAAAATCCTGTTCATTTTGCTTAACCCAGCTCCAGTCTTCCTTGTTTAGTTATTTCTTACTAGCAATTTAGCCTTGTGTATGCCTTTTATTATTATTATATGCGTCTTTATAAAAGTCTAAAATGGGTAATTTCCCTATTCAGATGGGAAGCCTATTTTATGTCTCCAGCTCAGACACATTACAGTTCCATGATGGACCGGTATTGGCAGGTCCTGTGGGGATTAGCAAATTGCCTTGGGGAATCGGGATTTAGAGTTATTAGGCCACTAATTCTCCTTCCTGAAATGGAGTTCTTAGCTAGAGATGTCAGGCGAATGTCTCTAATGTGATGGTAGGCTGTCTCTGTTCTCTGTCCCTATAATTCTCCCTGACACGTCTCTGGGGGGTCCCTTCCTGGATTTCCCACACTTCCAAAGCTTAGCTCTGTGATGTTAAAGATAAAGGTGCCAATTTGTCTTTGACATTGTTTGCCCCCAAAAGAGGCCTCTGGAGACAATTGGTTTTTCCTCCTCTTTGGGGTTAAGGATGTGCCTGTCTAAGGTGACCTGACTTTTGCCACCCAGTCCCCAGCTTCAAGGGATACTGAAATATGGAATGAATGGGTAGGGAAGTGAGCAGTTCCCTGGGCTTTATTTATTGAAAATGTGCACGAGTGTTTTATACATGCACATGTATCTTTATACCACACAAGTGCCCAATACCTACATAGGCCAGAAGAAGGCATCAGATCCTCTCCAATTGGAACTACAGATGGTTGTGAGCTGCCATGTGGATACCAGGAATAGAACCCAGATCCTTTGCAAGAGCAGCCAGTTCACTTAACTACTGAGCTATCTCTCCAGTTGCAATACCTCGGATATTTACAGAGAAAGGATGTTGAGCTTCCTGGGGACAAGCTCACTAAGACACCTGGTGCAGAGTCCAGTTCGGCCCCATTTCTCTCAGGAATTATGAATGTGTGTTGGTGTTGGGGGGCCTCGGATGATAGCACAAAATGCAAATTAGACAGAAACAAATGTACTCTGACAGACTGAACCACAGAAATACCGGTTCCCTTCTTGCGGGTGGCATGAAAGCACCAACAGATTAATTGACCAATTATCTTTGTTTCATTGCCCTTTAAAAAAAAAAAGTGACCATGAAGGTTTGGCTTGTGGTTATGGGGCTGATCCAGGTTGAGGAAATTAGGACAGAAATAACTATGGCCGAGTGAACTCTGCTCCTGCCTCCATGCCACAAGGGGGCGATACACTTCTTCACTAAGTCATGGACATTGGTTTATGTATTAAGAAGACCTGGGATGTTTCTGCTCTCACGGTGGTAACCATAGGGGATCCGGCAGTTTCCAAAGCCGGTCCCTAGTCACAGGTTTCAGGCAAGATAATGCACCACTGTCTCCCTCTGAGGACCGTTCCTGCTACCTCTCTACCCTGGGAGCCGCCAGTGTGGGAGATCCTTCGGAACAAAGGCAATTAGAGCAGAAAGGCTGGTGGAAAGTCTGTGTCGACCTGTCAGAGACCGAGGCTCCAAACACACAGCTGTAAAAAAATAAAGGAGGGTGTGGAAGGGGTGATTAGTGATGTTTTCAATCTAAGAAGGAAGAGTGGGGTTAAAGAATTTAGTTCGTCAGAACCAGCATTGCCTAATACAAGTCAGGGTCAGTAGCTAAAGAAAAAAAAAAAAGATCATTATGAATGGGGTGTGAAGGGAGCCATGCTCAGACATGCAACACAGTGACAGGGAGTACAGGGAGCTTGTCACACTCATGCTGATGGTGGGAAACGGGGAGTCCCATTTACAGAACCCTTGGACAATGGCCTATAAGATCAGTTCTCTGTGGCAGCACTTTGAGCTCTGCAGGGACACGGGGCATGCTCAAAATAGATGTTTGCGAAGGGCAGAGTTCAGCTCCCCCCAACACTCTCACTTCTGCTGTCCTGAGAGCAGCTGCTTAAGCTTCTCTTCTCTGTGCTCTTTGGTGATGAGTCACGGGGTTCAGTCCCTGGCTTAACCTCCCTCTTCTTTCATTCATTGCTTCAGGACATAGTAAATATTGCCCAGCGGAACCTAAGATGGGTGGCGCTTCCAGCACACGTTAAACACATCTCAGTTAATTGTGGGTGGGAAGAGATGGATGGGGGTGGGACAGGGACTATCTGATTCCATTAGCTGTTGTATGTACAATCCAATAACAAGAGAGAAGCTACTGCCTTATTTAAATCATCTGAAGTCAGGCCCAAGTCACTTAAGTCCTTAGTAATGACAAGGGAAGGGTGTGTGTGTGTGTGGGGGGGTGTTCTTCACAAAGCTTCTCTTTCATTCCCTAAACATTTGACTTGCTCTAACCCCTCCACATCTTCCCCCTTTGCCCCCCCCCTTTGTTAAAGGCAAACCCTTGTTAAAGGTTTGCCTGGTTGCTGGTAGTTCACTTGAAGTGAAAACAGCCAGTTTTCTGTTTAGCCCTTTCAAATGAGAGCTGAGGGTCTGAAATGGATGGGAGCATGGGGTAATGTGAGGACCACTGCAGCCTGGACTCCTCCAAGGCCCTCTGGGACTATATCTTTTCATTGACAGCTTGGATCAGCACCGAGGTGTGCTTTGGGACTGCTTCAGGAAACATTTACCACCAAACTTTTGGCCTTGATTACAGGTCTTGAAGACAGCCACCTCCCCCCCCCCCATCCTTTTAACTTAGATCAATTATTGGGGCTTGCAAGGTTCTTTTGTTTTAGGGACATTCCTATTTTGTTGCACATCACGTGACATATCAGACAACTCTGCAAGCCTGGGAGTCTGGGTGTAAATGGGACTGGGTTAGGGGGATGCTGCCACACCTACAAAGAGGAAGTCCTCAGCAATGGCCAATGGAGGACAAAGGAAAGGGAGATGCACAGAGGGTAACACACACGGGGAGTGTGACTCAGGGACCAGACCAGGAACAAAGACCATGCAAGACAAGCTACTGAGATTTTGACTGTGTGGATGTCGCCCAATCAGTTCTCAGAGAAGGGAGGTCAGCAGTGAGGTCAAATGGAGGGAGCCCCTCGCATGCGCAGGCACACCGCATGGTTATTGGTGTTAGTCCGGCTACGTCATCACTGCAGCCTGTATGTGTCTTTAGGGTGTGATGCGAAGTAAAACTTTACCATTAGGAGAGAACAGAATGCCTGTGACTCCCAGGGGAGGCTCTGAGTAGGTCTGATTTTAGCGGGGGGGGGGGGGGGGGGGGGGGGGGGGGGGGGGGGGGGGGGGGGGGGGGGGGGGGGGGAGGAGCCAAGAGCAGAGGTCCCCTTCTCTCTTGATGGTGAGCGAGCGATGTTTTAACAAGGTTGTGACAGGCACGATATTAGCTAATTATTTCGTCACCGTTCTGCACTTCATCAGGCTATAATTTTATTTCCTTTTCGGTAAGGGTCAATCATGTGCTTCTTGATTACACGGAGACTTCAAGTCATCGCTAATTGCCAAGTGACTTTTGCTTGATTTGTGCCTCCTGCCTGGGGGAGGGCCACTCTTGAAAAGTGACACCTCAACCATCAATCCAAATTCTTATTTCAGAAAGTCCTCCATTTATGTAAATTTTGTGAAGCACTCTCTGGTTTTATAGGAGTGCAACCTTTGCACGGATTTATCTGTTTTTAGGGAGCACTGGGAGGTTGCAAACCATTTCCGCAAGGGTTGCAGCTCACTTTGGAGCAATTGTGGTCTAAGAAGCTACTGGATATAAGGCTAAGCAATGAGGCTAATTTGCAAGGCACGTTTCTGGAAAATCATGTTTGTGAAGCTTGTTCAAAATTCAAGTTTCCAAACTGTACTGCAGCTAACGTGGCTTTATGGAGAGGGCAGTTGGTGGGACCAGATTTCTTGAGGGAAAACATTAAACCAAAGGTTATCAGATTGCCTTGTCCAGGTTGCAAGGACTGTTGAATTCTAGATGTGAATTGAGAACTAGAATAAATCTTTCAAATGGCTCTGCTGAATGTATCTGAGACGAGAAGAAATGCGTGCCAGGCTGTGGTTCCAGGTTTATTCCTCTAATCAGAACAAAGAGTTTTACCTTCTGTTCACCAGCGTGGACGACATCATCAGCACCATGCAAGCCACATGACAAAGTCACATGATACGCACGCACATGATTGGTTGAAAGGAAAGTGGAGGAGGTCACATGGAAAATACAAAAAAATTAAAAACTGATGTAAACAATGGGTAGGGAGAAAAAAATCAACAACAAAACCACAGACTAAATAAAAGGAGAAATCAAATTAAATTAGCAGCTTATATAGGAAACACTGGGAGGGCAACTGTGCTGCCCGGAAGGAGGAGATAACAAACCATATAGCGCATTTGGTTAACAACACCAATAAGCATTAGATACAGTTGCAACATTGCGTATTAATACCACACCAAGGAGCATGAACACTTTTAAAAATGAGGGGGTATTTCTGTCAAGGCCCAGATGTCAATCTAGGCCAATCTCAGAGACTGTTAAAGAAAAAGAAAAAAAAAAAAGGAAAGGAAAGAGCACGTTATTTATTTGCAGATTCCAGAATTGTCTCAGCATCCTTGGGGAAGCAATGGCAGTGAAACAGCTGTAGGTCATCAAGGAAGAGTCCTGAAACAATAACAGATTGTGTTTAATTAATGAGAACAATTTCATGTTTGTACTGGCCAAATAGGAGAGGGAAATGACTGAGGGAGGCTGGGGAGTCACAGGCCAGAGAGGGACAGTGTGTAGGGTCTAATTCCACTTCTTTATGCCGTACCCACGATGTTCCTAACACCCTAAGGGACTCCTCAAAGCAAAGGCACACATAAAAGCAAAAGGTCAGTACAGGCAAAGGGCTAGGTATCCTCTGGTATTGATACAATGACGGCATCAATACCAAATAGCAGAAATCAGCCCCTGGTCCAACACGCAGACAGTGTGACATTAAACCTACACTTGACTACTTATGGACCCAATGATGCCTTCAGATTTGCCAAGACTGCATGAATAAGAAAGGGGTTTGAGAACTACAGGGTA